AAATTTGTCTCATAATATATATAATCCCACAAAGCCTCCATGCCTAGACAGCAGCAGGACATCCCGCGGCTGGACAACTGTTTCACCTCGCAGATTTTTCTTGAACGTTCAAAATTTGTCTCATATATTTTCATATATACTGTGAAGTATATAAGCACACAGGCTGGTTAGGTAGGCCTCTAATTAGACCTATTATCAAGGTTATCAGTTTAATCGAGCAGCCACAGGCCTAGGTCTCGGCTTCTGACTGATACCTAATACTTCTTCAATAATATGCATAATTCAAATTAATTCAAACTTACACAACTTAATTATCATTAATTAGCGAACTTCCAAACTTCTACGCCCATGCTCTGCGTTCCCGCTGCCTTTTCACAAGGTCAAAGGTTATTATATTATGGAAAGCAAAATATGCATTAAATAAACGTTGATAGTCGGTTAGCGGGAAACGCAACGCGTAAAACTCAAGCACTCGAGAGTGAACACGAGCCGTGGTGTGGTCCCAAATCCATCCTTAATCAAACTATTTTTTTTCTCCGGAAACTCAAACATTCTTCTGTACTACCAATCTCCTACCATTATTTTCAGGACCTCTCATAATGCAAAAGTACCCAGGGGCGGATCCAGCAGGGGGCGAATAGGCACTATTTTCTGCTCAATTCGAACACACCTTATATCTCCGACCCAGTTTGTCTTTTTTCAATTAGCAGATCGAATACCATGCAAATATCATACACTGTATCCTGTAGGCCTACCGTTTGTATTAGTAGTAAAGTTTTTATCACTTTAATATACTAGTGATCAAACCCTTAAAAAAGTATAAAAATTCTTTTTATTTTATCATTTTAAATGCCCATGTTGGCATAGTTTAGGCCTATTATAAGGCAGATAGATGCTTAATAACCAGACTTAAGGACCATTTTTTAAGAATTGTTTAATTTTTTTTTGATTTTTTATGTTTTGTTTGATTAACGGTAGGCCTATATTTTAGCCTATTCTAGGTCCTATCAGTTTTCTTTCTTCCGTAAGAGCTTACGTAATTCACACTTTATAAATCCAGGATATTAAATATTGTCATATATATTTATATTTTCGAATGTGATGAGTTTCCAAAATGTTATCATGTTGTTTAAAGAGTCGTTAAAAAAAAAAATAAATAAATAAACCCATTGCTTTACAATCGACTGTGCAAAACAAAAAAGAAATGTTATAGAATGACGCCGACAAAAGTTATAAAATGTATTTGCTTCAAATTGCTTTCTTTATTAAACTGCCTTTCAGTAAAATTTAAAATGTAAATACTGTACATCGACAAATAGGCCTACCATCTTTCATTTTTCATTGCCCAGTGCATCATATTACACTGTCATGCAAGTAAATACCGTACTGTATAGGGAAATGCTGACAATACAAAATGTATTGCTTTATCAAAGCGTCTAAAATCGTTTTGATAAGTGGTAACCCCGACGAGGGCCCTTGGCGGCCCCGGTCCTCAGTCAATCGGGGGACCCCTCCCAAACCCTTCCCTCAGACTCAAGGTTATCGTAGGTGCGCTCTTTGCGCACACCCCACCCCGGCGGATCCATACTGGATCAATTTCCCCTTGTAATAGGCCTACTTCTTGCCAGGCATCATTATTTTAGCTTCATCCTCTATCCCATGCTTCCATCAATGGTACCTCAATCCCTATGGAGATTCCTTTATTTAGCACGTACTGTAGGCCTAGTTGAAATTTATTTTATTTCTTAATATTCATTTGCTGTATAAATAATCCAAATTTCAAACCATTGTGTCGAAATGAAATTGACAGACGTCATAGGCCTACTGCTCCATGTCCTGATTTTGTATGTCCATATTTGCTATAATAAATAGTTGCTAAGTTGGTCTAATGGTTGCTAAGTAATGGTTGATGTTTATTACTCGCAGACATCGAATTCACATCTTCCCTCATGTTTTATTTATAATTGCAAATAGTTTCTTTAACAAAAAAGAATCGTTTTGATTTTTGTATATTGTACCGTATATACTGCATTATGTTGTACCGGTATGTTTACTCGCCAACATGTGAAACAGCGCCGTACAAGGACTTATGTAGGTTCCTAAATTTATAAGTCCTTGCTCCGCCACATTTGAAAGATAAATCTAGATAGGCGTTTTATTATACATAACAACTACCGTAATTGCTCCCTATATGAAAGTATAATAGCACATACTCCCTTGAAATGCACGCCATTGTGGGGATTCTATCTATATCTTATGACATATTTTAGATTGTTGTATAGCTTGACACGATTCATGAAACCATCGACATTATTCTACAAGGAAGGCATGAAACAACGTAATTCCGTTAATCTATCCGTAAATTTACCAGAGCATCGGGGTAACCCCTCTCTTCAAATAGGTCAAGGGGTTATCCAAATGCACACACAAGCCGTGTATGTAGACTGGACCTCCTGTTTTACGTCTTTATCCGAGAAGCGTGTGCTACTAATGGCATGAAGCTAGCCTCTCCCTATGCCTGCTGTAGACAGACAAATAAATAAATAAAGTAGTTACAAAGCCAGCCCATATGCAATTCAGCACAATGTCTCTGTGAATTGTGGGTTATTTTATACCTTTATTAACCCTCTTTATTTGCCTTCATTCTGATACGCTTCGTGTGTTAGCTTTCAATTTAATTGTTTTGTGATATAAAGCAAGCGATTATTAAAAGTGATAGTCTTCTTTCGTTCACTGAGCAAAGAATGTGTTTGGTGCTTTAGCTTTAATATTCCGATTAGACCTAAAAACATATTTTATAGAATAGTTCACACGCAATTTTACCAACAACAATGTTACGTCATCTAGAGGCATTATCTCAATCAGGCAATATTAACCAGCGAGGTGCTATATACCATGGAGGAATAAAATATTTTATTCCTCCATGTATATACCAATACCCAACGCTTTGATTATTAGGTCTATCATCTTAACAATAGTTTTCATTGTAGCAAAATCCCAATTTATTAAACTCTCCGGGACAAACCAATAATATACTGATTATTTAAACTACATTATTTGTTATATTTTTGGAAACATGCAAATCAATTAAGTATTTTGGCAATTAATTGTTTTTCATTTTGACCGTCTTTATTTTTCCCTTTGATGTTTATTGTTATCTAGTCTTAATATATAAAATATAAAATTATATATGGCCAAGCTTGGTGGTCTAGTGGTTAAGACATAAGGCTAGATACTTGGTGGTCGTGGGTTCGATCCGAATTTTCGCTAGTATTTAGGGACGTACTGAGTGTTCAGTATAATAGCCTAGGTAAGGCAAAACACATGCCATATTAATGCTAAATTTAACGAAAAGCCTATTCGAACATTTATAAACAAACATGAAAAATAAATAAGTTCAACGTTACTGATATATAAACTCTTATGAGTCCGCCCCTGACAGCAAATACGACATTAAAATAACACACTTCCACAATAAAATAAACATAATATTTCTCCTCTGATTATTTACAAATATAATTCAATTAAAAATAATTATTTTATGACAATGTGTTAGGCCTGATCCTTGGATTGTACATGCATCTTATTGTGGATAATAATATAATAATAATAATTTGTTATCTCGTGTATAATTTGTTATCTCGTGTTTTGTTATTTTAAATGGTACATTGGTATCATTGTGAAGCGTTTTCATGAGGATTCCTAAAGCCACAGAGGCTATATGAATCTGTTAAAATATAGTACTTGCTTATTGGTATATGTATAAGGCAATTGTTGTATTTTTTGTTTAGCTTACAAGGTATTGATACTGGAAGTTGTGTAATCAGTATACAATAAATAAAAACTTCTCTTTTCGTGAGAAAAAAAAATTAAAAGAACTATTTTGGGTCAACCTACACTATTAACACTTGAAATATGAGAGGTTTAAGTATGGTAGTGTAGAACCCTTCAGCCGTAGACACAAGAGATCCAGCAATGCGGAACGAAACAAAAGAGAAGCTTTGCTAAGCTATTGAAACTAGCAATTAGAATTGGATAACAAAAAGAACTCTGACGGTGAATTTGCCATTTACAAATCTCCTCCTTGAACTAAAATAATGTTAGATTATACTATAAATTTGGTTGACTAAACATCTGCCATTTCGCTCTTTTATGTTCACGAGGGAAGGTTCGCAATCAGTTGAAGGTAAAATTGACGAGTCGCCTTACAGGTATGTAGCGTGGGACAAACAATATATATTCGGGGCTAGGATAAAGAGTGGCATTTTGAAGAAAACTGCCTAGAACTTTAGATCTCAAAGCACTAGGCTTGAACTTAATATGCATTACGTGTAGTGACAGTAACATATCTGATTCACCAATAAGTAATACATTCGAAAATTCCCCTGTAACATTTACAACGTGTTACATCATGGAGGTATTCCATGGTTACATCGACTAATTATTTATTTTCAAATATATTTCAATGCATTAATTAACATAATAATCCTTCAATGGTAGACCAAACGAAAAACAGTTTTAGTAAAAAGGTGCAATTACGTTTATTGCCATAGTGTTTTACGTATGTGTAGGGTCCCATAAGTCTGCATCGTAGCTGACAAGTAATTTCCACATTTCCACCCCTTTTTAGGTATTTGTTCCTCATATCCTTTGGTTCAATTATTATTGAACCGGAATACACCCTTCCTTTTAAACTTATTACTCGTTATTAGCACTATTCAATACATTTTTTTATAATCTAGTCAATTCTCTGATGAACTATCCCATCAGCACATATTATATAGGCCTATCTCGTTTTTCCAACTGAAATCCCGAAAATATCGCCCTCTGCTTTCCCTGGTTTCCGTGTTATGTTGTTCACAGAATTTTTAGTTATTAGTTTAATAGTACTATTATACCAACCCGAGAGATTTTAAATGCGTGAAGACTGCACCAGTTGCCTGGAGGGGGCGGGGGTGGGGGTTCGTTTCGACGATCTGAGCATTTTAAAGCCTATTCATGGAGTCTTTGTTGACAAACATTACCGGGTACATAAAATATTTTTTTTTATTAAAGCCACGTATAATTTGAGTTTCAAAGTATGTTTAATTTAAGCACCCGAACTATGTACATAAACGATTCCATAATTTAGTACACTGCAAACTTTTCACACAAACTGTACGTGGTTACAATCAGCTAAACTCCAGGTTTCAGATGTTAGAGAACCCTTTTTAAGTGGAGTCAGCTCAGCTCTGTACTTTTCTTCTGTGTACTCCTAACTACTAAATTGAATCTAACTACTAACTACTGACTACTGAATCCGTGATATGGGGGTGTTTGCCTATTATACTTTAGGTAATGGGGGTGTGTCTCAAGTAAGTCACCCCATACTTTTAGAGTTTCTAATTGGATCATAGAGAAATTCTTTCTCTATGATTTAGTAACTTGTTTACCAAAAAAACTGCTTATTAAGATGTATCACAAACTTCAGAGCTTAGGCTCAAAACTGACAATCATAGATTCAGTGTGAGAAAGGCTAAGTCCAACTGACTAGGGTAAAGTTCTACAATGTCCAGTTATATTATTAGATTATCTGTATACTCAAGTTAACACTACGTTACAATAATGTTATTGTGTGTGGGGAAGAAATACTGTAATGCCTGTAACTGATTATCAAAGGCACTTGATGCATGAGAGACTAAATTAATTGAAGGTATAATTGCAGACCAAAGTTTCAAGCTACGGAGCAAAACGCTCGCACTTGGTTCATAGTACTAAATTATAATGTTCCAATCCAAATACATTCTCGACCCATTACCGTATAATTATTCTTTGTCACCTTTTTCGTTTTTATTAATCAATCTGCTACTTGTTATTCGGTGATGTGGGCTTAGTGTTCACCATGGGTAGGACGGAACTTGTTCGCGTTTTTCGCCATGCGTAGGACGAGTGTACGTGAGGAATCATACTGTGATTATATTTTGAAAAGAATTCGTAACAAAAACCTACTAGATAAGCCTAATATTACTTGATCATGCATCATTTTTTGTGAGCGTTATTTTCCATGAAGGTATAGTAATTATCATTTAATATTTAAACAGTTATACAATACATCTATGGTCTTGTTTTAGAACGGCACACAACGGCTTTCAACCTGACATAATTAATAAACGGTCATTACATTAGAGTCTTAAGTTCAATCACAATCGAATTATTATGTTTTCTCAAACCACCATAATGAGTGATAGAATGAATAATTAATTGTTACAGTACCTACCAAAATGTCATTGATATTCTACGTATTAGTGGTCCTTCTTTCTCAGAACGTATTCCCTTTGTATTTTTTAAATTTATTTTATTAAACTGTGTTTTATTTAATTTCAGAATTCTAAAGTAATACTGTACATCGAACGAACCTTCAGATGAGGAATTAGTAGCACCTGCCGTGGACACGGTATAAATTAATATTAAATTTACCTACTAAGTCTTGTGTTTATGGATGTGTTACACGATACTACCTGTAAGCCATGAAGCAGCTCTCGGCAACCAAGACAAACCAGTTCTTATTAACTTTTCTATTTCTTGTGACGACTGTCCCCCAAATTGTTACGGCTTCATCGTGTCCACTGTTTTGCTCCTGTGAACACAATATTTCTGAATCTAACGAAGTTACCTCTGTTGATTGCCAACAACATTCACTGCGCTTTATTCCGGTAGAATTTCCAAAGGACACTAGTAATATATTGTTGAAGAGAAACTTGATAAGCACTATAGTTTATGGACAATTCTCCGATTTGGAGAATCTTATTTTAATTGATATTTCATATAATAAAATTATATCAATTAATGAGGGAGCATTTGTGGGTTTAAGTCGCCTCGAAACTATCGATCTGAGTGAAAACAAGTTGCATGTTCTTCCTTATGGAATGGTTAAAAACTGTACGAACATTCGAACTATCAATATTAACAGAAACCGGATACGTACGTTTTCTAACATGTTGTCAAACAGTACTCATTTGGAAAGACTGTATCTACGTCAAAATGAATTATCGATACTGACTGATGACGCGTTTGCTAAATTGTATCACTTAAAGCTTCTTGATTTGAGACAAAATAAATTAACTGAATTTTCTTTTCAAGGAGTTCGGTTCCCCGACTCAATTGAAGAGCTTCAACTAGGCTCCAATTTATTGTCTACCGCAGCCAATTTGAGGCTACAAAATGCTAAAAATTTGATAGTTCTTGGACTTGAAATTAATTTCATACAGGATGCAAATGAAATTGCATTTGAACATATGACGCGTTTACAATTCGTTAATTTTAGCAGTAATCTCTTAACGCGCGTTACACATACAGTTCTTTCATGCCGATCAATAAAAATTCTGGACTTCAGTGATAATCGAATTTCGACATTGCAGAATACATCTTTCGCGAATGTTGGTGATCTACGTGTAGTTTATCTTGGTGGCAACGAATTTATAAACTTGCCCAATTGCATTTTCCATAACAACACCAAACTTACTGACGTCCACCTGGAAAGAAACCAACTAAAGGCGGTCTTCAGAAATAGTTTTTGCCAGACAGACAATCTCAGTAAACTTTACTTACAAGATAACAACATATCACTAGTCGAAATACATGACTTTCCCAATCTTAAAATTCTGAATTTAACCAATAACGAAATATCCGAACGAGAATTGTATAACATATTTAACTTGCCAAATGTTACGACGCTTTTGTTAAGTTGTAATAATATTACAGTCCTTACTGAGAATAGTGTACGAAATCTAAGAGCATTAAAAGAATTGAATATATCATATAACAGATTAATTTCTATTGAAAACAGTGCGTTTATTAATGTCGCAGGAACATTAAAATTACTGGATCTCAGCCAAAATGAAATCAAAATTCTCATGTCAGAAAGTTTCAAAGAATTGAGCAGTCTAGAACGACTCAACCTGGCACACAACCGAATAGACTACCTTCCAAAATTTATATTCATTGGGCTTCAAAAACTCGCAGTATTGAATATTTCATACAACTTTATTGATAATGTTGAAGGGGTAACCTTTGAAGATTTGACTAGAGTGGTGGAATTAGACTTTCGTGGAAATTCCATTAAAGGTTTACCTGCGAGCATATTTTCTACAATGAAGAGTCTCTTGAAACTTGACCTGAGTGAAAACTTTATTGAAGAGGTTTCACAAGATATGTTTGAAGGGCTAGAAAATTTAAGGAGTCTAAACCTTGCAGACAACAACATTCACTCACTAAGTGGTCAGCCCTTTGTCAATTTGAACAATCTTTTAGAACTGAGCATTCGTAATAACAAACTTTATCGTATAGAAAGTGATAGCTTTCAAGGTTTGTCATCACTCATTACGTTGGATCTTAGTGAAAACGATATACGTACGCTAGAGCTAAATGCATTCCAACACCTTGTAGATGTAAAAAGCATTTTTCTTTCCAATAATATGATAATACATTTTGAGGAAATCTTAATTAACTGTCTTATTAGCCTTGAAGAGCTTTGGCTGGACCATAACATGATTGAAAACACAACAAGTCACGTGCAATGTGCGTGGGAAAACACTCGGATCATTGATTTGTCATTTAATAAAATACAATCTATACCATCTAAAACGCTAGCCATTTTTCCTAGATTGGATTATCTAGATCTAAAGTCTAATCTCATGGAAGCAGTTCCAGAAATCAAATTGGGGAATCATCTAAGGACGCTAAATGCATCAAATAACAGTATGACGTTCCTTGGCGATTACTGCTTTGAAAACATGACAGATTTAGTCGAATTGGATTTATCTGAAATGTGCTTACTAGAAATAGGTATAAATTCATTTGGAGGTATGAAGCGTTTGGAGTTTTTAAATTTAGAGAATAATTGTTTAACGACTTTAAACCGTGAGATATTTCAAGAATTGCTCAACATCCGCAACATACGGTTGCGCAAAAATCCATGGAGTTGTGACTGTTTCCTGAAAGACTTTCTCAAAATGTTTTCTGGAAAAGATAAATTGCCAATGTTAGAAAAACCACTGATGATCTGCCATTCACCTAGTAAAGTTTACCTACAAGATGCATTAGATGTTCCAGAAAATAAAATGATTTGTGAGCCCCCAATTGTGGAGTTTGTTTCTGATGTAACAGCGGCAGGGTCAGGCTATCCACTGACACTTATATGCATGGCTAATGGAACACCAGAACCGAATATAACGTGGCAGGGTACATTAAGTGAAATAAGTAAAAACGTCCAAACCAAGAGGATTAAAACTAAAGAAGGTGTTATTCTGATATCAGAAATAGCGCAAGCCCAGAGTGGAGATTACAGTTGTACTGCGACTAATGCGCTAGGAGAAAATATCAAAACAATAGAATTACAGGTTACTAGTCAGGCTCTTGATAACTCGGAATATGTTTTACTAGTGGCTGTTACAGCAATAATAACAGTTATTGTAACTTCAGCAATTATTACGTGTTGCTATCTATATCTTAAACACGGGGGAAAACTCTCCAGATCCAGAAAGTACTACTTCAACGGGAATAAACATGAGTTTAGCTGTTACGAAAATAAGGGAAGGGATGTACAAGAGGATTACGTTACAATAGGAAAACATTATCAAAAATCAGTGTTAACTCACGACGTAAATATGGACGGCAAATGGAAGGACGTTCACAAACGGTACCTATCGCGGGAAGATATGATTGAATTTGGACAGTACATGGCAGAAAGAACCATGGGGTATGGAGTTATCAGACGCGCTAATAGTGACCATTTGTATCTGAATGGTCAGGAATCATCAGCCTGGAACGTTTCTGTGCTAAATGCTTCAGTTTCAGAATCGAACATAGATGATGATCGTGGGTGTTATGAACTACAGCCACAAGTGGCTGGCGACTATTCTGGACCAACTACCCCGATCCCTTTAACCCCTCTTGAGGCAGCATTTAAATATGGTTATGGAAGCTCGTTGTATCAAGACAATGATGAAAAATTTGCAACGGAGTTAACCGATGAGGAAATTGAATTGTCTATGTTGGATGACTTTGAAAAAACATTTAATGAGAGAATTCAGCAATTTGACGATTTAGGCGCACAATCAAAACCTGAAGAGGATTCAGATATAATTAGTGACAATGAAAACAATTCAAATTCAATCACAATAGAACCATGTAAATCACCCATGCATTTATCAATCAACCAATCGGAAGAATCAGAAACACAGGAAGCAGAGGAGAAAGAGAAAGCAGCGTCTTGTAGAGTCTTGCAAATTCCCAGAACCAGCTCTTCAGTGGCTGGCAGAAACCTAGATCTATCAAACACGACAAACTCTGAAGTAGATTTAACAGTTTGTAGCCCATTATCAAAGAAATCGATCTCTTACCTAGTATGTGATGGAAAACAATGTCAATCCGACAATACTATATTTATATCAAATAAACAGACGTCTGACAATACGAAGGCGGTTTCAAAGAAAACGATAGGACATTCAAACGAACACTATCAAGCAGCATCTGATGATAGCAACAGTGACGACACAAGCCTTTGGAATAATATTTCATTTGATAACGAGCATTTGGATGTTATTGAGGCAGAATTTGAAGATTCAGTAGCAAATATAGACATGCATTCCCAATACGACAGTGATGCGTTCTCCTTTTGAATTAATGAAGGCTATGATGCCAAGATTTGTGCATGATAAAGCGTTTGGGAGAGACCCAAGTTAAATAGACCGGCATCATTAATAAGAGTGTGCAATATTTATGTAAAAACACATGTCGGTTGATGCAAATGTACAACGTTTTTTAGAACCAGATTCTGTGTGCAAGTTTGAAATATGTTTAGATAAAATGAATTAGGCGTTACATAAAATCAAATCGGAAAGCATGCTATGATGTAGGCTAATAATTAATGCCGTTTTAAAATCAATATATTTAGCAAAAGAAAATACCGGTATTGCATTACGTTACGTCATCTGTAAGAAATTATTGTATAATCATTTATTTATATTGAATTCTGATCTAATTAAATTAGAATGCTAAATAATTGCGATGATTCATAACATAGGCTACACTTTGTTTGAATATAATTAAAGCACTTATATACTTAAATCACGCCCTCCATCGTCCAATTGGTTCAGCACGAAGTTGAACATAATAATGGGCGTATTCGACTGGTTCGTTTCGTTGACTACGCTTTTTCGTTGAGTATTATTTTCATTCGACTGGTTCGTAAAATAGACTTCGTTAACGACGAAAATTAACGTAAACCAGAGTGCGTTAATCAGCGTTAAGTTATCCACGTGGCCAAAGAGAAACATGGCCGATTGGTGAGTTTAGTATCAACATTTGCGTTAATATAATCTTAGATTAAATTTCAGAAAATATAAATAATAATATTTACCAACATGAAGTCAAAATATAATTGTAGGCTAACAGAATTCAAAAAAGGCTCCCAGCGGGAGCGTATGTCTACTGCCTAATTTTATAGAAACGATGATGTGGGAAATTATTAATGATTTAATGGTTTAACATCATGAGAGTAAAGAAGTGGGTGTTGCTCTCGTATAATTATTCATTGTATACACTACGTACACCATGGTATTCCTGTTACAGTAATAGGCCTACTGTAGATACATTACAGTGACAGTGATATACTTATCCTGTTACCAGGACAACTGTTCCTTTTACTAATATGTACTAACCACACATAAGATATCCACCTACACATGACCTCCACCGGAATTAGAAAGATCAACTGTTGCGCGATAACAGTGTCTACTGCTCCCTGGGGGGCACAAAAACTGAAAATATTTTTTGTACGAAAACCCATACTGTCACAAGCTGAAGCAATCTTGACTAGGCCACGCAGCGTGTATAGCGGTCTATGCAGCCATTTTGTTTTGTCGAGTATTTACAAGTTTTTTTATTCGACTGGTCGTCTTCAAATGGTAGGATGTTACCGCTTTGTGCAGGTGGACTAGTCGAATACGGCCAATAGTTTTTCGAATGATATCCCAACATTGGACTAATTCGAAGAGCGATGAGTTACGTACTATTATGTTTACATACCATTCCTGACATATAACGAAAAATTACCTTTTCTTTATAAATAAATATTTTACTGAATAAAATATATAACAAAAGTTTAATGTTCTATGGCATGGTTAATAGTATAAGACAATCATTCAAAACATGTCACATAATCGAAACTAAACAGTTAGCAATCGATACTTACGGTTATGAGACATAAATCGCAGTATAATTTTAACGTTTAACAACATATGATTCTATAAAAACAAAAGCAAAACACAATGACGCACAAAAGTATGATCTCAATGTAACTATTTGGTCGAAAGTCGGTTCTGTAAAACGTGTCAGTGCTAAAGAAGCCGTATATTATATAAGTGAATCTGTCGACCACCTTCTAAGACATCGTCCAGGTGTGAATATTATTGCAAGTATGTATTACGGTCCATTTTATTCCATAATTATGTAGGCTTAATTTCTGTGAATTCAGACCTATGGTGCACGACAGGATTAAATTATACATACAGGATTCACTGTCTACTATTAGGTTATAGAGTTGTGACATAAACAATCACATAATCAGTCAATCATAACTGTTATGATTAATATGATGAACAAAGAGAGACTTCAATGGCGGATCCAGGGGGTAGGGTTCAAGGGGTTCGGATGAACCCCCTTCTGTGAAGAAACGTAAAATACTACTGGGACCCGGCTTACAAAAGGCATGCTCACCTACCTAGGCATAGGTTTGCAGATCGGACAAACTAGGCTTAGCCTATAGCATTCAATAATACAATTAAAAGCACTGTTTTTGGCTCGAGTCGTATTTAATTTATGTACAAAAGTGTGTTCTTCAGGCCTATCGGTTCATCGATCTAAGAAAGACTACTACAAAAAACAACTAATAAATACAGCGGCGAATCTAGGACTTTAGCAATGGGGTGGATATGCGATTTGCGAAGAACCAAACAAGGGGGGGGGGAACGGGTGGGGGAGGTGTTGGCAAAGGCGCAGATCTGTTTCTAAAGGTGAAGGGGACATTTTGTGAGTCCACACCCACTCAGGCCCACCATGAACGAGGTTCGAAAATTTTAGGAAATAGCTGTAGATGATCGGAAATGGCACTCTATATAGTAAAATTCATCGTCATCACATCACCTTTATATAGGCCTCAAATGACGTTTTACCAGCGATTTGCAGCAACCAAATCTAATCAATGTGATGTAGGCCTAGGCCTACTTAGAAAATAAACTTAAAAACATTGTCTTTGATGTATCTTTGACAAAGGCCATAACAGGCACTAAATTTTACATAAAATATTTGTTTGTACAATCACAGACCCTATATTTATTTTAATAGGCATTGTGGTTCCGTAGGCTAACTGCTGCAGTGCTAGGCTAGGCCAGGTAGGCCTAGCCATAATAATAGGGTCTAGGCTAGGCCTAGTTAGTACAGTAGTAGTAGCATAGTAGTAGCGTGGTAGAAGTAGCAGCAGCATGGTAGTACTAAAACATCTGCCAATTGAAGCGTAGGTCGTAATCTATTATTTGTCTTCATATTACTTTATTATTATATTTAAAACATTGTTTATTATCTTAAAACAACCAAATAAAAACATGTACGCCTACTACACTACCGTATACCGATCAAATCATCTGCGATTTCTCTGTCAACCAGCACATACATGCGAGGGGAAGGAATCGATTGTTTTTTTCTGCAGAAAAAAAAAACACTTTGTAATGTTGGTGGTGGCGCACTTAACATGGAACTAGAGTTCCTATGATAGGAACTCTACTTGTTCCCTGTGTGCTGAAGATGAAAAAAAAACCGTTTTCCTCTATTAATATCGGCATTTTTTAGTCGCTTTTCATCACTTTTTTTATAAAAAAAATTTTGAAAAAATGAGAGGCGGCTAGATAATCAGGGTCGGGTGGTGACGCTATAGAAACAAGTATATTTTTTTTGCCTAAACAATAACAATTAAGTTGCACTTAGACTCGAACTTGGACTTTAGGCATACATATATCAACCACTAGATCTAACCATGTCTACTCACTTGAAAGATTAAATTTCACAAGATCTCAATAATCGGCTTTAATTACCAGACAATGGTTAACTACACTACAATAGAAAAACACTGGTACTTTTAATATGCACAGGTACGCAATTTCAATATCATGGATTATGGATAATGCTTTGAACGTGGAACAATAGAGCCAATATTGCAACAGGTGAGACTCGCTCTCAGGTACGTAACATTAATATCTTGGCATTCCGATATTTTAGTTCAGTCAATTATAGGCCTATAATTTTAATGGTACACGTTTTATGCTATTAATAACGAATTGCAATGCTAAATTTCCGTAGGATATTGTTCACGTAATTAGGCCTAATAATAATTGCCTCTTGGGACAATGTATTACAGGGAGTTGTTATCCTCCCTGGTATTACGGATGGCTTGCATATATTCACGCGGCTGCATAACCATATGTTAACGTTATGGAGTACAGTAGCATATTAACACATCGTTCGGCTCAAATAACGAATGAAGTGTTATCCTTACCTTCAAACCTTTGACACTTAACTTTGAAGATTTTTTATATCACGTATTCACAAAGCATAGATGTGTATAAGAGACAGGTACAATGTTTGATATGCATTCGCACATATAATCAGGAAATCGAAAAATTACCTGTGCAAAAATTGCATGCACTATTTTTATACCTCCATGG